CCCAAAGTGATGGGGTGGGCAAAGCCCCCCGCTCACACTGAGGGGTCCCCCCAGGCCTGGGGGGATGAGCCCCACACCAGAGGGACCCTCGGCTAGAGGGAGGAACCTGCTTTGGAGGAACAGACCCCTCCAGGCTGGAAATGAGAGTCCAGAGCCAGAGGGATGAGCCCCTCAGTGGGGTGGGGGCACCGCAGAGCACAGTCACTGCCACCACCAGGGCTTGGATATCCCCGGTGCCCAAAACCTTGAGCCGTGAGGGTTCGTGCAGCGGTGTGGGTGCTGCTGTAACTGCTCCGTTTGAGGAACAACAAACCCTGCCGGTTTTAACTCACATCCCTTAAACAGCGGTGGGTGGTCATCCCCTCACTGCAAAGCACCATCCTTTTGCCACAGGGGTCTGGGTCTGCACCCCCAGTGCTACCTCTTGTCTGTCCTGTACCCCTGCAGGCTCTGAGGCAGGGCACTGGGGTGCAGAGCAGGGGTGACTGCGCCCTGTTGATTATTGATGTCCCCCAGGCCTCTCGACGCAGCCCATCTGGCGCAAGCTGTGGGATGATGTGATGAAAACCAGGCCGCCCAACTCGGAGGTGAGGAAACGCTGCTGGTGGGAAAAGGGGCACAACGCAGACACCCCATTTCTAAGCCTGATTGTGCTGCTGGCTGCCTACAAGCTGGTAGTTTGTTTATAAGCATTCGTAGAACTCCAGGCCAAGGGATGACCGACCCTGCTAGCGCAATCATTTTGGGAAACGGGGCTCATAAAAGGAACTGTAGTGTACAACCATGTCCATCATCTCACAACAGCGAGTTTGCCCAAAGAATAAATCCTGTCTTCAGAGACGTAATTCTTAGGGAAACTGGGGATAAAAACAGTATCTGATATCATGCTTACACCTACACTGGCAAAAACTGTGCTGATGTCTCAGAAAGCACTAGAGAAATACTTAGTGAAGACTTAAGTTTGGGAGAATGGCTTTGCATAGGTAAACTGAGGCAGCTCCACTGATTTAAGCAGCTTAATTGCCACCTGTAAATTGATGGTTGTGAATAAAATTCCTGATGAGGTGGTTTTTGATAGGCAAAACCAATGGCTGAGCTTCAAACCAGAGGCAGGGTAAAGAGAGAGCAATGGGAGTAACTTGTTTTTTCAACAGGTATGCTTAGGAAGAATGTTGAGAACTAAGAAGGTGGTCTCAGTTGTGCTAGCAGTAGGGTTTTCTGGACACCACATTTACCACGTAAGCAGACAGCAACAATTTAACCTAAAAAGAGTGAGAAAAAACATGGCTTTGTTAATGTGTCCCTGTTGTTTAATTGCAGAATATAACCTGTTGGAGGAAGAAGTTCCTTGAAACATTCTTCTCGAATGTTCTTCACGGTGTCCTGGATGTCTCCTCTGACTGGCGTCTCCACCACCATCACTTCTCGCCGCTGCTCCACAGCTCCCCACACGTTTCCCAGCTTACCCTCTGCAACATGCTGCAGGGTGCAGTGGAGCTCAGTGCTGAGCGCAACCAGAAGGTGCTTGAAAACCTGGCTGGCTCCCTGCAGATCCTGAAGTTCCAGCACCTCCTCTCCTCTGACCAGTCCATCAGGCGTTCACTGGTTTTACTTCTTCACCGGCTGATTCACCATGGCTCTGTCAGCCAAGTGTCCATGTATTCCTGGCCTGTTCCTGACACAGTTCTTCTCGTTCTCATTTTGAGCATGAGTGCTGGGTTCTGGCGCTCAGGCAATGCCCTCACGTATCACAGCAGCCCATGTGGCCTTTGCAGAGAGGAGGACAAAGCCCAAAGCCAGGAGTTGGCACAAGAACAAGCAGAGAGGGGTTGCTATGAGAGGGAGCGGAGCAGTGATGAGATCCAGAAGGGATTACCCAGGGCCCCCAAGGAGGCTGACATGGAGGTGAATGGATGTGGGGCTGACGCTCATCTGAACTCTGTTCTCTCTGGACAGAGAAGTTCTCCTCTGCGAAACCAAGTGTGTGAGGAGGCAAGCAGCAAGGTGCCCTGTGACCACACCAGCGTTCAGGGAGGATCTTCTTGTTGTGTCTCAGACCAGCTGTCCTGTCACCGTGTTCTTCGAAAGACACACAGACGACTAAAATCTGCCATGGGGAAGAAACGTCGCTGCCTCAGACGGAGCAGGGGACCACATGCTGACCAAGACGACCTGTATGATTTTGTTTTTACTGTTGCTAGAGAGGATAATTCAGGGTTACTCAATAAAAACAGTGCCACAGAGGGAGGAAACACCGAGAACTGGACTAGTTCCTCCCCAGGATCTCCGTGCACTGGCCATGCTGGCTGTAAGAAAAGAGGATCTGCTGGGATCTTTTCTCTGAAAGCTGCTCAGCGCTTCCGAAGCGTGTCCACACTGGAATTGTTCTCCATTCCTTTGACTGGGGAGACATGTCGGACTCTGAGTAACCTGCTGAGCTCCTGGGTGTCTTTAGAAAACTTGGTTCTGTCTTATAACGGTTAGTGGTGTGAACAGGCTTCTTCCTTCCAGCCTTGCTCTAATGATCTGATGTACTGCTCGGGTTTACCTGGATTTTATTATTACTGGATTTGCATTGTAAGAATATTGGTACCTGATCTTAAGAATGGCATTGGTAGAGATGTTTAATGAATGTGAGGACTTGCTTGAGGGAGAGAATGGGGCCCTTCTGCCCCAGAACAGTCCCTGGCCTTGTGCTTAAAGTCCATCTAGAGAGGGCAAGTGTGGATAAAGCAGTCTGTGAGTTTAGCCTTTGAACTTGGGTTGTTTGGCCATTGGTGCAGCTCCAGCTGCGGGTGCACTGGTGCCTGCATAGGCACATCTAACACCTTTCTGTACAAATGCTGTTCCAGGCCTGGGTGCTAACATCTCCTGCATCCTCTCGGCACTCCGGGCCCTGTCCCGCCACTCAGACTGCCACCTCCGCGTGCTGCGCGTGAGCGACGTCTTCTCCCACATGCCTTGCATGGAACTTGTTCGGTGCATCCTGAGTGCCTTTCCCCAGCTCCACACGCTCTCAGTCAGCTTCGACCTCAAAAACCAGCTGGAAGGGAACAGGCCAGAGGGAAATCCAAGCTGCAGTGAGGTAGAAATCCCAGGTAGGAATCAAAGTTCTGAGTGGTGACGAGGATGTGTCAGGCAAAGACAGCCATAAAGCTTGGCACATAGATTCGAACTCTACACTTACAGTGATGTGTAATTTAGCAATTACAGCCTCACCTTTCTGATTTAGATGGTGTTGCAGTTTGTCATTTCCAGTCTGTGATGAGCTCTCTGAAGCCTGAGTGCTGGACAAAGCATTTTGTTGCTGTAGGCCAACCTGCTGCAACAGCAGCTTTGAACAGGGCCAGTCATAAGCTGCTAGCAGTGACTGTCCTCACAGCCCATGGGGAGTGTGTCCCACCAGATCTGTGAGCTGGTTGGGAGCTTCTGGTTTGTCCATCCTATTGACTGTGAGGCTCTAAGCCTTAGACAGACCCTTCAGCAGAGGGAAAGCATCTCTTGATCATCACAATACATGGCAAAGCATGGCACAAGCCTCTGGATGCAGCCTGGGAGCTATACTGGCGTATTCTCAGCAGAGGTCTCCCATCATCCTCATTAGCTCTGGATTGACCAGAAAAACAGTAAGCAAAGCCTAAGCAAGTACAGAGTGGGGTGAGGGAAGAGCTGTGCTCTGGGAAGTCACTGACTGGTTTGTGGATGAAAGGTGGCCTCTTCTCAAGCAGTTTTACTGCCAGAACACAGTAGAAATTGGTGGCCCTGTGGTGTGGTAGGAGTCCTGAAATGAGCTTGAAGTGATCTACGTTACCATGGATCTGAGTTGCCATCCAGCTCTGTGGGGCCAGGCGCATTGCACAGGCACTTTCTGCCAACCTAAATGATAGCTGTGTCAGGCATACAGATTCCTTGCTTGCTGTAGGACTTAGCTATGTTGAAGACAGGCACTCCAGGCCAAGCTCTTTCATTGTTGTTTGGTTTTCTTCCCTTAGCGAGCTGCCTGGAGCAGCTGGAGATCCGATTCCCCAGGGAACCTCTGCACACCGTGTTCCTGCTGCCAGTGCTCAAGGCATCAAAGTCCCTCCAGCAGTTGTCCCTTGACAGTGCTACGCTGCCCTCTTCTCAGGAGCTTGGGCTCCTTTTGGAGGCTCTCAAAGGTACTCTGCTCACGTGCATCACTGTGACACACAGAGTAGCTTCCTTGCTGGGATCTTCCATCCTTTAGCATGAAGCCAGCTTAGGTGGGTCAATTTCTTCAGTGAGGAGTCCTTGAAGTCTCCCAAGAAAAGGAAATGGGCATCAGCCATTCCACCTTCTGTGCTGAGCATGTGAATGATCCTGCACAGCAGGATGGTTCCTTTTGAGTTCCCCACAATCCAGCACAAATTATTCACAGTCCAACTCAGTTTCTAGGCATTAGCCAATAGTTGGGTCAGGGTCTTTTTATCCCAAGGATGCACAGTACTTTACCCGAGAACTTGTTTTGCTTTTAGAATGTAATCCAAATTTGAAGAAACTGAGCTTTCATGACGTGAACCTGGCTGAGCACCAGAAAGAAGTTCTGCTTTTGCTTCAGGATCCCATCCTGCAAGGTACAGGAAACTCTTGGGTGCTGTTGCTTGGAAGGATGCTGCAGGTGCCTGCTTTGGGCTGGCTGGTGTTGAAGAGGTGATCTTTATATGTGTAAAGTTTAGCCAAATGTCACTGTCCCTGGAGCAGATCTGTAGCTGTTGGCAGAGTGGGAACACATCTAGTTCTTTGTGCCAGCAGGACAGAGAGGAGCAGCTGCAAAGCTGGCATGTGCTGCAGAGAAGAATCTGTAGTCTTGGCTATAAAACAAAGATTATTAACCTGCAGAGCATATCCGCCTTTAACTGGGTCGGCTGGCAAAGCCATTCCCTGGGTGTGATCTCTGCTCTCTTCCTGTGCTGTTGTGCACAATCCACTGCAGGGGAAGCTTTGTTCTTGCATACAGATTAGGGGTTGGAGCTGTCTGCAGGATGTAATTATGGAATAATGAAGCACACAGGGAGTACTAACATGTACTGTCAATCAACTTCTTCCCTAGAAATCACATTTTCCTTCTGCCGGCTGTTTGAAAGCTCTACTACTGAGTTCTTGTCAGAAATAATTAATACAGTGAAAAGAAATTCAGCTTTGAAGAGTCTCAGACTGCCTGGGAATCGCCTTGGTGAGTACTGTGAGCCTTGCTATGGGGCCTTGACCTTAGGCTAGCCCTCAGAGGTAACTTCAGGGTTGGAGTTCACCCTCGCTAGCTGCTGACCTCAGTGCTGAACTGAACACATGCATGAACAGAGTGGATTTAGTTCACAAGATAAGAAGCACCGAGTTCATTTTTGAAGGCAGAATTTCAGTTGTGTTCAGCAATGTACCAAGAGCCCAGGTGCTGTGTGGGCACTGCGGTTGCTTTTCTCTGTATCAAAAGCAAGTATCAGCAGGACTCCAGCTTTGTCTGGACTCTCATCTGCTTCAGACTCTAGCAGGAACAAATTCAGCAGCAGATGCACCTCTGAAAGAGAGGCAGTGCAGGTTATGCCCACGTTTGGGCATTTTGTGCCTTAAAAGCTGCTGGCAGCCACTAGAGGGATGGGAACAAGTAGAGGAAGGATTTGTGCCAAGGAAGTAGAAGTGAATTTACAGAAATGATAGGCTTTTGAGATCACGGGCCAGCTAGAAAGATTGTGAGAAGTGAATTTTGTGTAAACCTAGAATACTGATTTCTGTTCTTTTAATGACATGAACAAGGAAAACCCAGGATCACCCAAAATATACTTAATTTTTAAGATCTGGGTTTAACCCTGTAATTTTGGCCATTTTTTAAAACAAAGCTGCATATTGACTCCTCAGACAAACCCAGGATTTTTCTAGTGAAACATACTGCCCTATGAGCAAATGTTTCCATTGCCTTGAAGACTGCTCTGGGGGGGAGAACTCACTTTAGGCCACTGAAGGGGACAAACTGAGGATGCAGAGATGAGCCATGTGTGCACATGCTTACACCTTCTTTCTGCACTCTTATCCCAGCCCTGCAGCCATTTAAATGTTTAAATGTTTGCATCTAACACCCCCATTTCTGCCCTCTTAGGGAATCACAGGCTGGTTGCCCTTGCAGACATTTTCTCTGAAGATTCCTCCTCTTCTCTTCGCCAGCTGGATGTCAGGTATTCTGCTGCTCTAGCATTGAATTTCTTGTTTCAGGAGGGCCAGAGCTGAACTGGGCTCAGAGAGCAGAATAGGTTTGTACCTTCCTCATTGGAACACGTGCCCAAGAAAAGCTTAGAGAATGCTGCAGTAGGCACATACAACCTCCGGAATCTCCAGCATCTTTGAGACATCTCATTGTCACTTGTATAAATGAGTCAAAAACTCCATCTTAAAAGCAGTACTGGTTTGCTGCTCCCTTAGGAGGCTGCTGCAAGCACTTCCCGCATCCCTGTG